ACGAAGAATTTGAAATGATGTTGGCTTGGTTGCCATTTTACTTCATAGTGTCAATTTATGTGTATGATGTATTAGAATGTTGTTGTCCCTGATATTACTGTCCTTTTTTGTGTCATGTACTTGCTTGATTTTGCAAGAGGCAAAATACAATGGCTAGTCATGGAATTTGGCATGAAAATGAAAGAGTTAAGGACTATTTGGCATAATTGAGTGAAGCTTGACACGAAACATAGAACATAATGGCTGGTATGAGTTCTTGTTTAATCCGAACACACATTTATTCCTGCCTTCTATCACTGTTATAATCTTTTGGACTTGTGAACTTGGTTAACATTGTTTATGTTTTCTACCTTTGAGTCATATGTGTCAAGTCAATCCTCTGCTACTGCCATGCTATTTTGCATTTAAGTGACCTTCAAATTATTTGCCTTGTGTACTTACTGCCCTGTACATTGTGCTAACTATGGCTTCCTTTGGCTTTCATGTATTTGTCCTTGGTGTGATGATGTGTTTGGCACGAGTCTGGATGAGGCGTGAATGGCAGTTTGGCATGAAGGAGATCCATGGTGTCTTGGCATGAAGAGGCTCATGGCATTGTGGATGGAATATGGCTTGTATGGCTTAGCTTCTTCCTTGCAAGGCACAAAAGATGATGATGGATGGTTCATTGATGACGTCAAACTCTTGTTAGACTTAGGACTTGTTATTTCATGTAGCTTCCTTTACAATCAACTTGTAAACTAATCTTTCATCTTATCTTTTGAACTTAATTCAAAATCATCTTGAATTTTTAATTTGAATCCCATAGCTTTTATAACAAGACTTTTTACTTCAAGAATGAAATGTCTTGTTTAAACTTTTCCAACTTCTTGAAACACATATTCCAATTTTGTACTTCGAGTATCCTTTGTCTTAAAAGTAAATGAACTTGAAACTTGGAATACACCTGACCGTGGCTTGAAACAAACTAGAAACAAATCTAGCCAAGGCTTCTAGGACAAGCTTTACTCACGGCCTAGCTTGACATAAATTGACCATAGCTTGAAACAACTTGCAGCCAACTAAGCCAAAACTTGGCTAGAATGAATCTTGAAACTCACTTAAAATAACTCAAACATGGCTTACAAAAACTTGAAGACTTTTAACTATGTCTTGTACATTTTGAACCATGGCTTGCAAAACAATTGAAATTGCCGCCTTAAAGAATGAAATTCCATTTATGACATGAAATGGAGTCTAACTATAGCTTGGAATTACTTGGAGTTGTTTGCAATAGATCAACTCAAGGCTTGGCTAATTGCAATAGTAGTTCAAAAAATTTTGATCACAAAATCATGACTTGCACCAATAATCTCCCATATATTTTAAAGCAATTCACACATGTCTTGAATCAACTTAAAACAATTTGAATAATAACTTAGAAACCAACTTGCAACAAATTAGGTCAATGTCTTGGAATTGAACAATCACATAGCTTGCGTTATGACTTGAGAACAAAATATCATATGGCTTTAAAACCCACTTGAAACCAATTGAATCATGTCATGACTAATTGGCCATGAGAATAGGATACATACCCACACAAAACCTCTATGCCCTAAATTTAAAGGATACATACCCACACAAAAACTATTTGAATTCGGCAAAATAGAATCTCAAAACAGATACAATTTAATCAGAAGGGGCTTTCAAGGAGATTCTCAAAATTCATGTTCGTTTGCTGCAGAAAAGAGGAAAATGCCGTTCACATTTTCTTTGAATGTCGTTCGGCTTGGTTGACTTGGAACGAGGTCCTAGGTTGGTTTCGTATTGTATACGTTATTCATAACTCTGCGTTGCAGAATTTTTACCAATTTACAGGTATAAGTAATGGAAGGCGAGTGATCAGAGAGAGGCTACTAGTAATTTGGTACGCGTGTATTTGGTACATTTGGTGTCGGAGGAATGACAAGATTTCTAGACCGTTCGATAAACGTATTGTTATCTGTATAGAGGAGATTCAAACTTTGTTTTGAAAGTGGCTAAAGGCTAAGATTAAAGGATTTTCATATGATTTAAATCAGTGGATCACTCACCCAAGGGAATGTCTTGGATGGAAGTAAAGTCATTTGGCCCAGCCGTCGTTGTTTTCCTGCTGGTTTATGTGCAGGTGCTTATATTTGTGGTATGAGGGGCTGTTTCTGTCGTGTTATCATTGTCGTAGTTCAGGAGCATTGGGCCATGGTGTGCAATGGCTGTAGTTCTGAAGGTGATTTGGGTGAGTTAGAGCAGGATATGTGATAGAACAGAGGTATGATTTAATATGATAAAGAAAAGTATTTTATTAATGAATGTGAAAGTAAAATAAATTCCAGAGCTATTGCTCCTCAGTCAGAGAAACTATTCTCTCACTGCCCAAACCCTAATATCAAAAACAGAAAATCAATTAATGCCTCACTACTGCCCCATACACTCCTCTTTATATGGAGAATAATCCCTAAACTAACTCCTCTTTATATGGAGAATAATACCTAAACTAACTCCTATTTATTTGTGGAGTTTTCTATTCTTTCTCACATATACCCTCCATTGTTTAGGTCCAATAATATCTCTATTAACTAACACATTTCCATCATCATTTGTGGGATCCGATCCATTCCTATCATCACCCCCACCTACAACATTAGCCTTGTCCTCAAGGCGCAGATCAGGGAATTGACTCTTCAGCAATCCTTCCAACTCCTTAGTCTGTTGATCAGAGACACACGACACCGGTGACCCTAACACCTCCATCAAGGTAGGCCATTCATAGCCTGCTATCATTCGAGAAGGAGTGATAATGCTTTGGAAAGTAACCATCTTATCATCTACAGCCTGACCAAGTAGTTTCACCATACTGCCTTTATGGTTGAACTCCATAGACATTTCTTTCCAATCCATGGTCACCTTCCCCAAAGTTTCTAGCCATACAACTCCTAAAATCAAATCCACACCTCCTAACTCCAACACATAAGCATCAAAGCAAATCTGCACTGATCCCACTTTCATCTGAATTCCATTGCATCTACCCCTAGTTAGGACACGATGACCATCTTCTAACTTAACACCTAAAGGATTAGAAGGCACCATAGACAATCCCAGGGCTTCAACCACCTTAGGTGATATGAAATTATGTGTGGCTCCATTGTCAATAAGTACCAGAATTAATGCACCTTGTAAACATCCCTCCAATTTCATCCTCTGGACCTGATTTGGATTAGTGGATACACCAAACAGCCCCATGGTTTTACATTCTAATTCCTCTTGTGTGAGCTCTTCTTCCGTCGCAGCCTCAAACACCACAATCTCTCCTGCATCGTTAACAATTTCGTCATCCCCTAAGATAATCACTCGTAACTGTCTTGTTGCACATTGATGGAGAGGATCCCATCGTTTGTTGGAACGAAAACAGAGTCCTTTCGCACGACGCTCATTAACCTCTACACTTGGTAGATGGCGAACACCACGAGATTGACGGCGTGAATTGTCACCTAAATTTGGGCGAGAAGATGTTGTAGAATTGGTAGGACGTGTTGAGACAGTTTGAGATCCAGAATCCGAACCAGTCCGCGTTTGGCCCAAAGAATTATTAGGCTGGGTCTGAGTTGCAGATCCGTTCCCTTCCCCTTCGCGAAAAGCCCAATTAGGCTTTTGAGATTTTGTCCAAGAACCATGACCCGGTTTGTAACGTGCTTCAGAACCCTGTCCAGAAGCCACTGCAAATTCACTTTCAACATCACGAGCCAATTGCATTGCTAGGTAACGGTTGCGAGGCTTGAAGGTACGCACACGAGAACGAATATCATGACGTAAACCACCAATGAAATAACCTAGAAACTGTTGTTCTGGTAAACGACCACACTGTGAAGAATACAGTTCGAATTCAGCAATATATTCCTCTACTGATCCCGATTGTTTTAGTTCCTTTAATTCTTCAAACGGATTCTCCAAACGCCCACCTCCAAATCGAACCATCATCGCCTCACGGATGTTCTCCCATGACACTTCCTCTGTTGAATCATGCCATAGGTTAAACCAATGGATAGTAGGGCCTTCCATACTCAATTTGGTCAACTGAATACGAACATCCTGCGAAATTCGTTGTACCTCAAAGTATGTCTCTACCCGAGTGATCCATGCAACCGGATCGTCACCGGTAAATGCCGGCAACTCCACCTTCTTCGCAGATAAACGAAACTCATCCAGCGGTGAGGAAACTGTCGCACTGCTTGGCTGCGGCACTTCACGATGAGCCATTGCACGTTGAATCTCAGCACCAATGAACTCTCGTAACGCAGCAATGCTAGCCTCGACACCTTCCAACCTTTCTTCCACTGCAGAAATACGGTCAGCCATCTTAGGAGCTGTGGGCATGAACAATGGTAGGTCGGACCAATTGATAGAACAGAGGTATGATTTAATATGATAAAGAAAAGTATTTTATTAATGAATGTGAAAGTAAAATAAATTCCAGAGCTACTGCTCCTCAGTCAGAGAAACTATTCTCTCACTGCCCAAACCCTAATATCAAAAACAGAAAATCAATTAATGCCTCACTACTGCCCCATACACTCCTCTTTATATGGAGAATAATCCCTAAACTAACTCCTCTTTATATGGAGAATAATACCTAAACTAACTCCTATTTATTTGTGGAGTTTTCTATTCTTTCTCACATATACCCTCCATTGTTTAGGTCCAATAATATCTCTATTAACTAACACATTTCCATCATCATTTGTGGGATCCGATCCATTCCTATCAATATGTTTGGTTGATGTTGGCATGACTGGGTGTTGGTTTGTGTCTAATCTTTGCCTTGAGCAGGTTGATGTTGGTAAATATTTAATTGATATTAAAAAAAATCTCAAACGTGATTATATATATCAAAACGATGTTAAAGAACACACCAAGCTTGAATTTTCTTAACACTTCCATTTAACAAAATTTACAAATCAATCTATATTACAAAATTAATGGCATTAGTTATTAGGACCCCAACAACTTAAGTACATGACAGTCCTCAAAGATTCCTCAGATTGCTTTGCCTGTTCTTCCTTTAATCTATTAGAAACCATATCATAATAATTAGAAGAAGAAAGCTTCTTTGCTTGAGACAAAGATCTCAAATGATTTTTGACATGATGTTGAGCTAATCTTAAACCATAGTTCCATCTGCATAAACCTTGGTCTTTCAAGGCTTCCACAACTCCAACACTAGCTGCAACTGTCCAAATTCTTCTTGTTGAACTCATCATGAAATAATTTGAAATCTTGCTTGTATAGTGTATGGCTAATTGGTAGATAAAAACAGAAGAAAGTCTTTGTAGGTTGATTTTGTTTTGATTGAAGATGCAATTGAGTGAAGATAGTTTTATATACGGTAAAGTGACAAGTTATTGTGTGTAACAAGGTTTGTAAAAACCAGTGGCATGAAGAAGCTAGCTACTGGTTTTGGTGGAAACCGTGGTTTTGTTTTGTCATTATGATAAGGTCACCTTATGATAAACAATAGTAAAAGCTTCCTAATAAAGTTCAATGTATCATGAATTATTGGGACCATGTACGTGTACATATGACAGATATGTCACTTACATTATGGTAATTTATATGTTCGAAATTGTTGTGTACAGCTGCATACTCCTGTCCTGTCCTGCTTTGCTTTTTTCCTTTTCTTATTGTATGAGGTGTTCAATTAGAAGGACAAAATAGTCCATTAGTACAAACGAAGGGCATAATAGTCACCTAATTTGAAATAATTAACTTATTGTTGATTAAAAAACAGATTTATCTTTTTTTCTCAATGTTTTAAAAATGGGACCGGTCATCGAACAGGTGAGGGTATTGAGTCACTGGTTTATCGGTAGAATTATTGGGTCATTGGTCGAACCGCATGACTAAACCGGATAATTCGGTTGAATAGACCTGTCATTATATAGATATAAAACCGGTTGAATTGGATGATTCAGTTTTAAAAAATCTATAATTAGTACTTAAATTTTTTGAAAATATCATTTCATAAATTCACAAGTTCATAATTTAAATTCAAATTTTAAACAAATGTATCACATATAACAAAATAATACAAAATTACAAAATCTAATTGCAAACAAAGTCTAATTGCAACAGCTTCCCCATCAATGATATCATTTATTGATTATTATGAAATAAGAGGTAACTATTTGTAAGTAAAATATGATTCTCCTACAAAGAAAACCAAATAAAATTCAATATGTTTATGCTATTTCACTTTCCCTTTCAACAAAATACATGCCTTTTTTTATTGTTAATATTTTGACACTAAATATAATTAATTATAAATTATAATTAATTAAAATTATTAGCAGTGAAAAAATATAAAAAAATAAAATATATAACAATCTAAAAAATTAAAATAATAAGGTAACTAATTTGTTACTAACCAAAAAGTTACAAACTATTTAGGAAAATGTATTAGCAAAAATAACAAATAGCCAATAAAGTCTGTAATTTGTCACTAACGAAAATTTTTTATATGAGAATGTTATTTAAGTAATACGTTAAAAAAAAAATTTTAAAAAATAAAATAATTAAACCGCCGGTTTTTCCAGTTTTCCCGATTCACACCGGTTCACATCGGTTTAATAGCGAGGCCGATCCGCCAATTGAATCAGGTCGGCTAGTGTCTCGGTTTCCGGTCGGTCCGGTTTTTAAAACACTGTTATTGCTAGTGTTTTGGTCATTAAATATAGGCAAAACTACTGTCTATATCCTTTAAGTTATTTTAAAATATCAAGTTAGTTTTTTAATTTTTTTTGTAATGCGTTGGTTATTTTAAAAAATCTCCGTTACGATAAATTATAAACTCATATATTATTTGAACTGGTTTTTCGCGCTGATCAAGAATATGTAATTTGTTTTGCGTTTTATTGCATATTTCGGTCTGATCGATAATTTTTCATTATATATTTCGTCTATTTTTATCTGATTCTCATTAACCGTAACTTGTTTGATAAATTTAATTGTATATTCGTGATCAACGCGAAAAACCCTTTCAAATGATATATGAATTTACAATTTATTATAACAAAGTTTTTTAAAAAGAAATTAAAGCGTTACGAAAAAAATTTAAAGAATTAATTTAATATTTTAAAATAACTTATAAGACTAAAACACATTTTTTTTTCTTAAATATATTATTTACTAACTATTTTAAAACAAAAATTTGTTTTATTAAATTAGTAAATCTATAAAATATAAACAATGCAATTTAGATACATCCAAAATCATAATCGGTTCCTCACATATTAAAAAATCAAAATAATAGTTTAGTAAAAGATATTTATTCACACATTTAATTATAGTTCACTATAATTTGTAAAGAGTACAAAGAAATTTTATATTGATAGTTTATAATATCAAATTATAGAAATTCAATATTATTGTCCATTTGTACATGTTCATATCAACTAGAGGTTAACATTAGTAAAACCGTCTTACAACCTCCTTCACTCCTTTTATTAATCAAATATTCTATATGTTTTAAATTCATAAAACTAGAACATTTTAGATTTATAAAACCTTTATTAATATATAGTCAATTTTTTTGTAATCGGTGTTGATCAATGATGGAGGGCCTTGAATTGGTGGCGATGTTCTACGATAAAGTGATGCGGGTGGATTTGAAAGATTTTCACTTCAATACCTAAATCAATTTAGAGTTCAAAATGAATATAACAAAAGTGGATATCAGAAAAGTGTATCTTGAATCTAACCTGTAAAACTCCACATAATACTATCTAAAATCATACAACGTAAAGCGTTAAAATTTGGTACTTAAACATTGACATTCAAAAGTGTACTAAATCAAAGCACATAAGATATAAGAAATAGTACATCATATGTCAAATAAACTAAACAGAAGATCACAGTGGAAGTAGATATTAGACATTAAAGTCTTAAACCTTCAAGGATTCTAGACAAAACTCCAGCCATCACAACTCACCTAAAAATTAACAACAACATTAGGATAAGATTACTAAATCTCAGTGAAGTTCCATATCTTATGTGCCCACTAGACTCTACAGGGTTCTACTACTATTCTCATACTACTAATACTACTTTCACATATTAGATACACAACGAGAATAATGAATCTCGGATCTCCAATTACATGAATGCCATACTCATGGATGCACTCGTCATGTAGTGCAAAGGTGATTAGCCCAAAAAACAATCACAAGGATCTATGAATCTATTTGTCAGACATGGTCGATGGGATACCAGACCTCCACTTCATGGCCTACGCTACCTACCAGATATGATAAATGGATATTTGACATCCACTATATGGATTTCACTACCCATCAAATATTGTCAATGGAATCCAGACCTTCGCTGCATATATCACACCACTCATCAGATGTGATCAATGGACACCAGACCTCTACTGTATGGGTTACACTCTCCATCAGATATGGTAAATGGATACCTCCACTATATGGATCGCACAAAATCTCTTTCCACCATATATGGCCAATTGATATCAGATACCCAATGTCTGGATTTTACTATCCACCAGATATTGTCAATGGAATCTAGTACGGATACGATCTTATAACGAACTAGGGTTTCGTAAATCGTATTACACTTCCGATGAGTATCCAAGTGTTGCCGTCAAGTTCCTTACACAATACAAGCACACTATTGGACATACAAGGCAATGCACCTTTAATACTAACTAGGGTTAAATATTGAATCATATCGCTTAATTATAATTCATATGATATTCTCGTTCATTTCTCAAAACACAACATTTTATAAATTATAATTGTTCGTACTATTCTATGATTTCATAGTTTGGATAAAAGCATTCAAAAAAACAAAAAGCTTGCCCTAGTGGTAAGGTGCTTGCAGAATGGTGGAAAGGTCTTGGTTTTGAATCCCATCAACTGAACTATTTTCATTTTTAAAGAATTGATTTTTGGGAAAAATTCAATGGGGCAATCGATTTAGTCCCTAGGTAATGATGGTAATTGTATCCATCTCTAGTGGGTACCCGCAAAATTTATCCACAACGGGTAGGATAGAAACACCCAAAATGGGTACGGACACGGGAAATTACCCACTAAAATAAGCAGGTATATGCGTGGGTACAAGTATCTTAGTACCCAGCCCGTCCCATACATGCACACTATATATTTATATTTTTTATTTTCATTATTATGTACATATCTTAATCTAAGAATTTTTTTAAATACATCACAATTAAATTATGCATTTTAATATAAATGTTTTATTTAAATTTCTTAACTCAACAATAACATCCTCAGATTTTTTAAATGTTGTTAAAAAATTAAAATGACATGATAAATTATAATGATTGATTATTTTTTATTAAAAATACGAGGAAGCGGTTATGGGTATGAGTACTTAGGTATCCATAGAGTACGAGTACAAACATTGATGCCCACACGGGTATGAGCTCGGTTACATGGATTTTCTTAAATTGCGGGTTTGGAGACAAGTAATATAGTACCCTGTCCAAACTCGGCTCATTGACATCTCTATCCCTAAGAGAAATCCATTGATGGTGATTCTATAAGTGGAAAAATTGAAAAGGAGGATATGGTTAAGTGACTTGAGGCAATCGTCTCTTGTTTATACTCCATAAATTTATGAATGCAATCAATTGATTGTTTGTGCCAATCGATTGATTCATGTCCAAATTCGTAGGTAATTTTTCAGAATTCACATTCTTGCACCAATCATCATTTTCACATAAATTCAAGCAATTAACACATCATCAACATATTCTCATGATCACACCATTTCATATATGTTGCACCCCAAATTTTGACCCCTTAGATCTTCATCATCATTCTAGGGTCATTTTTATTTGATTATCTAACCTTAACCTATTCCAAGTTTGTCTTTGTTAAGATACAGGTGAATTAGGGTTCTGTACAGTCAGGAATCGAGGTTTCGACGGTTTAATCGGTCAATGTATTAGATTGATTCTACATGAAACAAGTTTCCACATCATCAAATATACTCCATTGGGTCAAGTATGAATCCAATTTGACGTTGTCACCCAAAGATTAAAGACAATGCGGTTCAGGATCTCCGATTAGGGTTTCCGATTAGGAAAAGTCAATTGTAGTTTAACTTTTGATTTAAAAAGTGTTCCAATGATATAATTGTGGTCCATGAAGTTCATATGGCTTATTGAAGTCCACTCAAGGAGTTTCAAGGCCTCAGAAGACCCAGAACATCAACA